GTAGCCTTCTAGTCAGTGAGGTAGTAGTAATCTCGATATATGAGTCATGTTGGGGCAAAGGGGCAATTAAATTCATATATCCCGTGATTACGCTTTAACACAGAGTTATCTCTAGGACCACAGTTGTTTTTCAGTATTAGGTGAGACTTTTTTTATTGTTGTAATAAATTTGTTACAACAATAAAAGACGTCTCACCTAATACTGAAAAATGTATGTATGCATACACACATACATACATACATACAAAAAAAGAAATAAAAAAAGAAACAAACAAACAAACACGTACAGATATTGATAAGTGTATCGACTTGTCGCGTGAACGAACGAGACAACGATCTGACGACACCTCTCATTATGGCGGCTCTGCAAGGAAATGCTGAAATATGCGAGACACTGGTTGGTTGGTTGGGGGCTTGGTTGGTTGACTGACTGACTGATTGATTGATTGATTGATTAATGTATGCAAGATATCTCGAGGGGCAGACGTAGAGTTACGGGACATCAACAACATGACCCCCCTGATGTGGGCTGCCGGGGAGGGCCACGCTGAAGTTTGTAAGGTTCTCTTTAAGGGCGGTTAGTTTGTTGAAGTTGGGAGTTGTTTGGTGGGTTTTATTTGATTGATTGATTTGTTAGTTGGTTGGTTGATTGGCTATTTGGTTGTTTGGTTGGTTAGTTGGTTGATTGGTTGGCTGGCTGGTTGGTTGTCTGATTGGTTGGCTGGCTGGTTGATTGGTTGGCTGGTTGGTTGGTTGTTTGATTAGTTAGCTGGCTGGTTAATTGATTAATTAGTTAGTTGGCTGGTTGATTGATTGGTTGGTTGGTTAGTTGACTGGATGGTCGGCTGATTAATTGATTTTGTAAGATGGATAAATTTATTGACTGATTGATTGATTGACGGCTCGATGCAATGTCTAGTATCATCTCCGCCAAAAGCCACCATTATCACTATCATAATCGCCACCGTACTAACCCATACATACATACATACATACATACATACATACATACATACATACATACATACATACATACATACATACATACATACATACATACATACATACATACATACATACATACATACATACATACATACATACATACATACGTACGTACGTACGTACATACCGTAACCATCATTATCAGCATCATTATCAGCATCATTATCAACATCATTATCAACATCATCGTCATCACCACAGCGCAACGACACGGTCCACAAAGCATGGGTCGCTACATCAGAACCGCAGATAAAGAGGGCAATACAGCCCTCCATATGGCTGTTCAGAACGGAAGTCTCGAGGTCTGTATGTCTGAATGTCTGTCTTTCTCTGTCTGGTTGTCAGTCTGTTTGTCTCTCTGTCAGTCTGAATGTCTGTCTCTTTGTCTGTTTGTCAGTCTGTTTGTCTGTCGCTCTGTCTGTCTGTATATATGTTTCTCTGCCTGTTTGTATATATGTTTCTCTGTCTGTTTGTCTGTCTGCACGTGTAAAGGTAGGTGTGTTATATGTTTTTTGTTCTTTATTGTGCAGTTCTGAAATATCTTTTCTCTAGTTAGACTTTATTGTCATTGACTCTGTGGTGAAGTATGAGCGGCTTAATACGTATAATATGTTATACGTTACATGTAATGTGTTAGATCTGAAACAAAGTTAAAAAAAGTGATGATCATTTTTTTTATATTTTTAATTTGTCTAAAATATTAAGATGATAATATTGTTGATGTTGTTATTGTTATTAATGCTGTTGTCGTTGTTGTCGTTGTTGATGCTGTTGTTGTTGTGGTTTTTATTATATTTGAAAATAAACTTTGTTATTATTTTCCATTCTTTTCTAAAGGTGGTTAATTTACTGTTGTGCAATGGAGCTAACGTTAACTCTACCAAGGCGAGTCGATGTTGTTTTGTTGTTGTTTTGTTGTTGTTATTAATGTTATTAGTGTTGTTATTATTGTTATTATTAATGTTTTTATTAATGTTGTCGATGTTGCTATGGTGGTTATTAATGCTATTTACGTTGTTGATGTTGTGGTGATAATAATAAAAACAATAATAATAATAATAATAATAATAATGAATAATAATAATAATGATAATAATAATAATAATAACAATAATAAAATAAATAAATTATTTCCTTTTCCACCGCTCTGGTTGAGAATTTTTTCACGAAATTTTTCAAGTGGATGCCTTAGAATTCAATTGGGATGCTGTGTTTTTTTTATTATTATTTATTATTATTATTATAATTATTATTATTATTATTATCATTGTTATTATTATAGATAGGATTTTATAATTATTTCATTATTGATATTTGGTATTTGGAGTTAGAAAATAAAAGGATGTTCCCATTATTATTATCATTATTATTATTATTATTTATTATTATTATTATTATTATTATAGATAATAGATAAATAGATAGATAAATATACCGATAATTTGCGTA